TGCGGAAGAAATTCGAGATGATGGGGAAAATGAAATATATAGATATACAAAGGCAGCCGTCTGCTGTACTTTCAATGCCATATCAAACACTTACATTTTTCGTTTTTCTTTCAAGGACAATGATGATGATGATATGCGGCGGCTGACTACGGTCAATGGCAGATCATAAATCTTCGCACTACGTTCGCTTTCGATCTTCGTTCACTATTCTGTTCTTCTACTTTGACATTCAACAAACAAAAGTGAGAATGAGTAAGAGAAAGAAAATGAATGACCAGCACGAGCAGACAACTAATTTTGTTTCTTTATTATACGTCTCGTTGTTTGTCTGATCTCTATGAAAGAATTGTGAGCACGTTTTAGCATCTTGTCTCTCGCTCTCGAGCTTGTTTCGTTGATTTGTATTATTATATTTCATTCATTATGTGACAATTGTACGAAAGTTTCATTGTCATATACATACACACATACATACATCTATCTTACTCTCTTGATTGTTGATGATGCATGACATTGTTTTACATATACGAATAGTTTCACCTCCATTATACATCTAGAAAATGAGACAAGACAAGGCTGTTTTTTTGATCGTTCACCACCTTTCAGGGATTTTGATGAGTGAATAAGATATGATGTATTGACAAGGGTGATATATTTCAATCAAATGTGTAAAATCTATGTATATGCATTTGACTGTTTCTCATAACAAACCATTTACAGTTGATCATCAGATTAAACAAAGATATCATCAGACAAATTGTCTTTTCTTTTGCTTGGCAAACTTCATTGTCCATAGCTATGTGTTAAGTTCAATGTTTGCAAGATGCCTATCTTGTTCTTCAATTCTCGCGTCGACATCTACCAGACTACACGAATGAAAAGAAAAACGAGAATGTTTCGCTCTCTTTCTACTTAGATCTTATTTGTTTGTCACATCAAACTGATGTTCAGCATACACGTGTACATATACTCTCGCACTCAAAGGTCAAATCTAAACTTGTCTGTAT